TTCGACCATTCTCTCCTGACTCAGGTGCAGACAGACCCAGACTCCAAGATCGAGAGGAAGAAGTCTCACTACAGCCAGGTGAGAGGTCATTAAGTAAACTCTGATACATATTTTATTACACCTATAAATGTTACATGTAGGCCATTCTCGGTCGCTTGGTTTCCAAATGAGTAATATCAGATAAAATTTCTGCTGACTTGCTTTTCTCCAAGCAACCTTATTATCTTAGAAATGTAACAGGTTATAAACAGTTTGTGGGTCAGGCCTCCTTCTGGTTGGTCCTTCCTTTACTTCATGACGCCAACATTAACACATCCAGTGTTCTGACATGGTGCCACAAACCAATGTGAGGAATGAAAGTTTAAATAACATCACTGAATTGCTGCTTTAAATTTTGTTCACAAAGACAATGGATGATAATAATAATAATAATAATAATAATAATAATAATAATAATAATAATAATAATAATAATAAAGATACAGCCTGGCTATATCTGGTACTTTTTAGACATTTGAAAGTCAATTAAAAATTCAAAAAAAAAAAAATTCTAATCAGTTTTCACAAAGAGGTTTTTGTACACTTTCAAATGAAAGAATTTAAAACTTTAAAATAACTTTTTCTAATAACTTGTTAGTAAATAGATTAATTGGCTAATGACTTGTTAGCTATAGCTTATTCAAAGCTAACAGTGGAATTATAGTGCTGTTTATAAAGTGGTTAATGATTCCACCAGTATTAAAGATACTTAGTCTAAATTTGTATATTTAAAAATGATTTTGTATTTTTAGCTATGCTTTCATGTCCAAAATATCTGCATATTGCATTGAAGAGCTAGAACACGAATAAACATTCGTGTAATGCTACATGATGGTGCAGTGAGCCAATGTGGCCTTTATTTAACCACGCAAAACATTAAGAGCACATTGTTTTTCACAGCGCAAAAGGCAAAACTTCGTAAGGACACGAGTGTTAAAACAACAGCGTCACATGTCCAGGGGTAAAATATTGCTTCTTAGAGGTGAACGTTTTAGCTCGAGATTAATTACAAAAAATATCTTTATACTTTGTAAATGGTTGAAAATGCCTAAGCCAGTCGGTTTGGTTTACCACAGTTATTTGGTTAAGTTTGCCTGTCCTTTGCAATTCTCTTGCAAAAATGTCTTATAAATTCTAAACTGTAACTGGTATCCACATGATTCAAACACCATGATTGCCTGCACACGCACAAGCTTGTTTTGGTGTATGGGTGATGTTTCTATGATGGAGTGGAACTAGAGCTTTTTCTCTGTCTAACAACATGTAGCTATACACTGCTGCAAAACAACAATCCCATAAATAAATGCTCTGTAGTTTGAGAGTACCGTGAGTTTTACAAGCCACATTTATTTATTACTTTTCTCTGATAAGAATTCATCCAAATGTCAGCCTTAGCTTTAACTGATATTGGTGTGTGTATGTGTGTGTGTGTGCGTGTGTGTCCGTGTGTTGTATTTCAGGTTTCGAAGACCAACTGCCAGTACCATAAAATATTTAAGGAGATCAGCAAAGAAGAACAGCTCAGACAGAGTAAGTCTTTAATGATCACAGCTATCCACTCCACCTTAAATACTGAATGAAGGATTAGGTCATAGTTGAACATGTGATACCAGAGCCTCTTGTTAACCACCTGATAATAATAGAATCCCTATGATAGGACTACAGTGTAAATTCAAAGTCCGATAATAACTTTATCAAACTCTTTTGTTCAATACAAACACTGAACTGGTCTTTTCTTGTTTTTTTTCCTCACAAACATCTAAAAATAATGTGTTTTTTTTTAA